TTCACTTTTTTTAAACATCAAAAATTAATTACTGACAAAGGTATTTATAGATTGTCTTTAAGGGGACCAGTGCCACCCACTTTTTGATCGTGAATCCTCTCTGGGACTAGAAAAGTGCCTGACCCTGATTGGGTCCAAAGAGACCTAGTCTTTTAAAGCACAATCATGTGAGCAGGGGGTGTTTCTTCCCTCTCCTGCCAGAGTAAAACCTACCTGGTGTCCACATATCTGGTCTCTAACAAGACATCTGCAAGCCAGACTGTCCGGTGTTGATGGAGAAGGTGACTCGCTACATCTTATGATTTCAGGGACTGAGAAAAGGAATTAGGAAGGGCTCTAGGTGAAAAAAATTGTCCCCAATTTAGTTGGATGCCCAAAGTGTATTAAATAGAACAGATCATGAGTGGGAATACTGCATTAACATGAATTCACTCCCACCACATCGCAAGTTACTGTTTTCACAATCCTATCTGAGAACAAATGAAAATAAGATTAAAGAAGACAACCATAGTCTGTAAAGTGAGGAAGCACCTCAGAGAAGGAAATGGACGTAATCTGGTTGGCTACATCATTCTTTGTTTGATTTATGTCTCAGCTACACAATACAAAATCTGAAGCAGGTTACGAAAATAGACTCATGTGTAACACTTAAAAAGTAGAGTAATAAAGGGGGAACATGAGGGTTAAATGCTCTGATGAAGCCAGGGACAATTGCTCAATAGAAATGTATTTATAGGATCCTGCATATTTTGGAAAGGAGGATCATGTGTTTGGCTTAGATGTTTTAAGGTATATTTTATAATATTAAGGAAGTATTCCATTGAATTCTTATTTATTAAGAATTGGTGTTGAATTTTTGTCAAATGCCTTTTCAGCACCTGTGGAAATAAGTTTTTTTTTTTCTTATGATACATTCCTAGAATAAACTATATTTGTTCGTAATGTACTATTATATTATGTGCTTCTAGATTCTTCATGTCAATATATTTTTAGAATTTTTCATATTGATATTTATAAATGAGTTTGGTTTGTAATTTTCTTCTTTGTGAATTTTTTGTATTTTGCTTGCCTTAAAATGAATTTTTTTTTTAAATTTGCTTTCAAAAGTTGTTTACAAGGGAACATTTTGCTCCCTTGTGATATTCTCTTAGACCTCAGGACACAAATTTCTGCTTTCAAGAAATTATCATCATCATCATCATCATCATCATCATCATCACCATGATAACTAACATTTAATTAGCTCTTTCTGTGTTAGGCACTGTTATAGCTTTAATCATCATTAAAAAGTCTATGAAGCTAGGTACTATGATTTTTCCCATTTTGCAGATAAGAAAACTGAGATACAGAGAGGTTAAGTGCTTTGCCTTGTACAAGTAAGTACCTGAGTGGTACGCTTTAGTCCCAGGCCCCAGAGTCTATGCTCTTTTGTCCAGAAATTTAGTTTGACATGAAATCAAGTTGTTAAAAAGATGGCAAGTGTAAATAAATGATTTTTTTTTCAGGCCCCTTACAAGATTTTCTTTAGTATCATCCTGGCTTATCTTATGTTTATTTTGTGGGCACTCTCATGGCAGAGACTTTACATGTGACAGCTTCTGAAGCAGGTGTCCTTCAAAGGGAGCAGCCCCAAAATGTGATAATTGGGATTTATCAAACCGAGCAACTATGGTAGGATGATTTGCATTACCAAAAAATTGTATGTTGATAACACCAAGGTGAAGGGATCAGATCCCCATACTGGCCAACCACCAAAAAGCAGAACAAAAATAAATATGTAAGTAGTAAATAATTAGTACTTTACAAAGGATTTCAGTAGTAGATTTCCTTAAACAGTGAAATATTTCTATCCTCCACTACAAAACATTAAAAATATTCAGCAAATTAGATTTAATTAGTCTGTAACATTGTGTAGCCTTAACTGTTAGGATAGGAAAGTTTGTTAAGGTAACTGCATTTTATACAAATTTTCTGAAATTGCTATTTTAGTTATATACCTTCTCTAAATGAAGAAGTAATATATTTTGACAGAATTTCTGATAAGGCTACAATGTATATATTTCCTGGCTGCTACAAATCTCCAAAGGATTTCATAGTGCGGAACAGAAATAGAAACCTTGTTTTTAGCTTGTTTTATTTTTCCACGTCTGTGTTCCCAATGGAGTACAAAAACTGCTGAAATACAAATACTGTGTATGTTGGAAGGAGTTAATGAGCAGTGACAGCCAATACATGTACCCAGGTTTTGATATCTGTTCCAGTTTGTAATTGGCTATAACAGCCTATGCTTTATGTAAAATGACTGTGATCATAACAAAAGTTATTTTTAAATTGCTCATATAACCATGTATCTTGGATCGTGGCACTATATTCAGCTTCTGTATACTGTGTGTTAAAGCTCTAGTATTTCAGGTCTTGTTCTTAAAACCACTTTGCATAATTGAATTAATCTGCATCAAGGAAGGAACTAAAAGGTTAACTCTAAAAGACTCTCTGCCACAATGCAAACAATTTAGGAAAACTAGAGATTTACCTTTGTTTTCTAGAAGTGAATTCCTGAGACTTATTAAAAGGGCATTCAGGAGACTAGATTAAGATGGTTACATAATTTGCAGGGCCAACTACAAAATAAAAATACACAGTCCCTGGTTAAAAAGCAGGAAAAATTATTGTCAAAGTTACTAAAATATAAAGTTTTTTCCTTTCTTCCATGATCTCTTCCATTAATTTGTCATGGTGTTATTTTATTTGCTATTGAATGTCATTCTAAATAGAGAAAAATGAAAATTTAAAATTATTAGCATGAAGTTTACCTTTTGCAATACCAGTTTTAAATGCAAATGTAAGAGCCTTTAACTCCTAAGTAGAATTACTGAAATTGGACAATTTGTGTTGTGTAGTTCATACATGCACGTGTATTTTGTTCTTACCACAATGTGGAAATGCTGCAGAAAACCAACTCAACTTTTTATTTCAGTTCTTGTTATGTGCCTGTTTCACCAACACTCTTTCCTTTCAACTCACTTATGAATAAGGAAGAACTGAAAAGAAAAGGAATCCTGGGTTGCCCTATCTTTCCCTTTCCTTCCATGGCATCATTTTCAGCGTAAATGGTTGGCAAACACAGGTTAATAACATGAGGAAGAAGGGATACGATAGGGTTCCTTAGTGGTTTGTGTTTCTTCACATACCATTGCTTTCTTTCTGCATTTAAAGCAAGTTCTGGTTCAAAGAGTTAAGTGTGGCCTCTCGGAGCTCTCAGTATCCCTCTCCCATCCCCCTTCTTCAGCCATAGGTGTAACACGCTTACTTTGTTCTACCTTTGAGTCTTGCTGATCTCGGACACATCATGGGTCTTTTGGAGTGCTATGCTAATGGGGCACCTCAAATGCCATATGCGAATGGGGAGGTAAGGAACTGCAGACCTGCATGATGGTCCCATCTCCTCTGCTCACAGGCATGCTCTGTTGTGCCATGGAACTAACTTCCTTACAAAACATGAGTTCAAAGATAAAAATATTAAGAATTACAAGATGGTGACAGCAGGCCATTAAACCATGCATGGAATCCTTCTGAGCATGGAGCCCCGTGCGACTGTCTATGAAGCTGGTACTGCCTCAGCAATCTCATCTACAAATTGAAGTGATAACAAGACATGCTGGGTAGGATTGCCAAGAGAAGCAATTATGTTCTGAATGTAAAGTTCTTAACGCAGTGTCCTGCACATAGAAAGCACTCAGTACATGGTAGTTTCGTAAGACCTATGTTGCTCTATATCCTAAATAAAATCAGGAAATGGTTATCATATTCCTACTAGGGAAGTTATTTATTTGATCTGGGTCAAGCATTTCTTCTATGAGCCCCACTAAGCAAGACAAGCTTTCAAACACATGAGACTCTGGAGCAGCATGAATGCTCTTTTATCTATGCAGTGGTCATGAGGCAGTCGTATGATAATCAAGCAAAGCTCGGACATGAGTTCAAGAGGTTGTCTGGGTTACTTTATTCAGTGGTAATTACTACAACAGCTTATGGCAAATAGTGCTGTGTGGAGTGGCCAGAAAAAGACAAAGGCACAAGTCATTAAAAGCAGTTGCGTTGCCAGGTTGTCTCTGTCTGAAAATGAAGTCAGCTCTGTAAAGCCTCAGGCAGAGAAAGCCTCTGTTCCAGACTCACGAAGGGGAGATATGAAAATGAAACAAAGGTTTGAGATCTGCCTGAGCAAGCAGGCGTGAATGCTGATTGACTACAGCATCCACATGAAATTTGGTGTAGCATAACTTCCAGGGTCCAAAGCTCCTACAGAAAGATTGTATATAATACTCCATCAACCAGTTAATGCAACAGAGCTGCTTATAAAATGCAATAGTTTATTTATATATGTTCAACCAACCATTCATCCTGCAAACATCAGTTTTAGAAAAAACAGTATTCGATAAATTATTAGCACCTTATTGAGGTAGCACATACTGATTGCCTTAACATAATTTTATTTAAAACCTAAATATTTTTAGAAGAGATAATTAATTTATATTTCATTGATATATATTTTAAGTGAAAATTATACCAGAGTACTAATTGTGACTTTGTTTACAAATTGTTCATTAAAAATGACTGGACATGAAAATAGGCTGATATACAAACAGGATAAAAATTTGTAGGTCATTATAGATATTCACGTTTCCAAGAAAGTGAGTGACTTCAGATTATAGGACAGATAAGATCCGTGTGCCTTATGCAAGTATGATTTTCCTTCTCTGACTTGGGAACAACAGGTTGGCCCTCTGTGAGGAGGAGGTTAACAGAATGAACATGATCTGATTTTTAAAAAACTCTCTTTGTAGAGAAAAGGATCGATGAGAATGCAGCATAAATTTTGCATTTAGCTTGATTCTTTTAAGACCTTTCCCTACACTTGCCCATTGGCTTTTGAAAATCTGGATTTAATCTTCATTTCTAAAATTTTTTTAAAAACTTAATGGACTTAATGGGCCTCTCAGGAAGTATTAACTTTCTGGATTCCCGGGTCCTCTCACTCACTGGTGCTGCGGGTAAGGAGGATGACTACTAACTTGGGGAATGCTGAGTCAGGACATGGGTGTGCTGTCTCCAGTGCTGGTTCTCCAAGGCTTTACTGATAAATAATGTTGTTATTGTTTCCAGATGCAGAACCAAAATACCTGATAGTTGTGCGACCTGCTCCACCTCCAAGTCAAAAGAAATCATGCTCAGGTATTGGGGTTTTTTTTCTCTTATTAATTTTAAACTGTCATTTTTCATCTTTTTTCTACCCATGGAGACCAATTGCCCTGGGGATGTCTTAGAAATGTGGAGTAGAAGATGCAGGCCCTGGGTCAACAGTTCACCCTACTGGAGAAGATGCATAGCCTGATGATACTTTACTGATAAATAATGTTGTTATTGTTTCCAGATGCAGAACCAAAATACCTGATAGTTGTGCGACCTGCTCCACCTCCAAGTCAAAAGAAGTCATGCTCAGGTATTGGGGTTTTTTTTCTCTTATTAATTTTAAACTGTCATTTTTCATCTTTTTTCTACCCATGGAGACCAATTGCCTTGGGGATGTCTTAGAAATGTGGAATAGAAGATGCAGGCCCTGGGTCAACAGTTCACCCTACTGGAGAAGATGCATAGCCTGATGATAGAGACTGCTTGGGAACTTATGCCAGCATCACCACTTGCAAACTGCAGAGATTCACAAGGTTATTGGACCTCTGTGCACCTCAGTTCTGCTTCATGATAGGGTTGTTGTGAGGATTAAATGAGGAAGTGTCAGTGTCCGGCCTGTAGTCAGTGTTCATTTGGGGTTAGCTCCTGTTAGCCTGTCTCTATTTTGCAACATGTGAACCTAAGCCTGCTATTGTGCCTTTCAGATTTTACGTCTAACCTTTGTTTAAGGAGACTGTTTACATTTCAGAAGGATAATTCATGTATATGTGTGCTAAATGGATTGGAACTTAGGTTTTATTTACTCCTATCTCTCCCTTTTAAACCACTTCTGTATATTCAAGCATAGAGGAAGGACTCCTTTCATAAAACAACAGTAACGGCAACACCCATCTTCCCAGGCCTACGAAGACTTGATACTGGAAAGGAGATAACGTGTGAATAAATAAGTAGAAACTTTCCACATGACTAAAGGAAGATTAAAATCCTACATTGTCCAATTTCACTACCTAAACTTCTCAGATCAAATACGCAGACGATTGCTGTAAGGAAGAGTTTGTAGAAGTTGTGATAACGCTTTTTCTATCTGATGTTGCGTCTTCCTATCTCTGTAGGTAGAGTTGATCACAAAGTTTTCCTTCTTTTTCTTCTACTAATGTGAACTGTTCTGCAAATAACTATTTCCTCATCATATTCGTCTTTCATGGTACACTGGATGCCACACAAAAAGGATCTTTTTTTGTTTTGTTTACTTACTATGTTTTTCTATAGGGGTAAAAAGGAAGGGAGAACATTCAGCTATTCAATAGCATCGAACAAAGGAGTCCTTGGAGCTCTGTATTCAGTCTTCTAGACGTATCAGCCCAGGCC